TTCTCTAACAGATTTTCAAAATCCTTTTTGGACTTAGACCACTCAATTTGCATGCTTGTGACAGAATAAAAAACAGGAGGTAAAGACAACACATCAACAAATGAATTTTCAGACATGATGCAAAAATCAGCAATCAATCAACAAATATGATCAACTCAATATATCGAGTTACCCACTCTGATACTAAATTGTGAAACAAAAGTTACGCGGGGTGCGAAAACAGACAGTTGATTTTAATTGTGATTAACTTCTTTAATGACTTAGATATGATTATTAGATCAACTTGCTCAATTTATGATTGATTAAATTATATAATCAATTTAAACATCCACAATCACAAATATATGTAAAGTAAAACAAATTAGAGTTAGAGAGATTGCACCAAGATTTTAGCGTGGAAACCCCAGTTGATAACCCCAGTTTATAGGAAAAACCTCATGGACTGTGCAGTCCAAAGTAAACCAATCCACTATGTTTGAAACAAAGTATACTGAACTTTGACTCTAGCTCACACCCTAGCGTTCTATATCACACCAACCGCTGACGATCTTCTGGCTTTGCGACTCCCCGTCCAACAGCAACTTGACCTCAGGCTTACACTTGATATTTGTAGAAGAGTAGGAGGTAGATTAGATAGCACTCCGCGAATGCTCCAACCCTTTCAAAATGTGACTGTGTTTACTTCTGTTCTTCAAGATTTGAACTCGATTGTAGAAGAATTAAATCCTGTTGATCATCCGGAATATCTGAATCTTCAATACAGCTCCAATTCCAATGAGATAGAGAACAACACAACTAAATCACTCATGAATATATATGTGTGCTCTCAAGAATAATCAGATTTGATTTTTTGAATTTTTCTCTCTCTAAAAGGCTTTCTCAAAATATAGAATTGATTTTCCCTAAAGCCATTTCTGAACCAATGTATATGACATAGTTTATATAAAGTTTTGAAAATCCTAATCCTTCAGAAAATATGATAAATTTCGTGTATATGACTTAGAAGGAAGTTGGGATAAAAAAGGAAACATAAGAAAAAAGGTAACTTGGAAACCTGATGCATTCAAGACTTCTTGAACCGGTTTAGAAGGGCTGAACCGGTTCAAGATGGCCAGTTTTGAAATTTTGGCAATTCTGAAGATGTTGAACCTGTTCAATAAATCTTGAACCAGTTCAAGATGGACAGAATGTAAAAACGTGTTCTAACCTTCCAAAACCCTTCCTAAATGTTCTCACTACCTCTCAAAATTTCTTAGAGCATTGTTCTCATTATCTCAGAGTGTAGTATATTACGAACACTTGAACTTCTTCAACTCCGCATCCGATCTTCAATCTTCAAAATTTTGAATCAAAAAATTACAATTCGATCAGACTTGTTTTGACAACGAAATTAGCCAATTACAAAATATATATCTCACAGTTTACACACACGCTTCGTTGTGTGAGAGCATGAGACTGTACCGGCCAGTCCCCGCTGACAGCAAAGAAGTAATAGACGACGACGTCTTGCCGGATGGGACGGTTGTGAAGAAAGGGATGAGGGTTACTTATCATCCTTATGCAATGGGGAGGTTGGAGAGGTTGTGGGGGTCAGACTGGGCGGATTTTTGCCCCGAGAAATGGTTGGAGAAGGAAGCGGTCACCGAGAAATTGAGGTTCGTAGGGAGGGATGCTTACACGTACCCGGTGTTTCAAGCTGGACCCAGGATTTATCTGGGGAAGGAGATAGCGTTCCTGCATACAAAGAGGGTGGTTGCTGGTGTTTTGCGGCGGTTTAGGGTGGTGCCAGCGATGGAGGAAGGTGTAGAGCCGGTGTTCATATCGTACTTGACGTCTAAAATGAAAGGTGGTTTTCCGGTGATTATTAAGGAAAGGGATGACAAATTTTAATCTTCTTCAAATCAGTTGTGTTGTTACATGTTGTTGTTGTGTTGTTTGTAATTTTCTCAATATTCTTTGTATGTTGTTTTGTTTATAATTTGCCATACATGTTATTATGGTTGGATAATGATTTTAAAGACTTATATAGTTTAAACGTAATGAAAGGCCAAGACAGTATTTATTATTGCCTAATTAAGAGCAATTATTATATAATTTACATTAATTATAATTTGTATCATAAATAAAAATTAAATAAAATTGACATATTTCAATTAAAATTGACCGAGAGTTTATAGTATTTTAGTATATGAAAATATATCATCATCTAACAGAGTTTACATGAAGTTCAAACGTTGAATCAATGGTACCTAAATGTGCACCTAATCTCCTCTCTCAACCTAATATCAATGGGTGACTTATCATAGAACCGGACACTTGTAAAATTTTTCTTATTTTTCTCTTTCTCTTTTTAAATTTCATTAATTTCCTTAAAAAAATAAAATTTTCTTACTTAAAATTTTATTAATTTCCTTAAAAATATATATGAATTGGTGATTTTTCTTATTCTATTTTTCTATTTTAGTTTTTAAATTTTTTCTTATTTTTCTCTTTCTCTTTTTAAATTTCATTAATTTCCTTAAAAATAAATTTTTTTTACTTAAAATTTCATTAATTTCCTTTAAAAAATATATGAACGGGTGATTTTTCTTATTTTATTTTTAAAATTTTTCTTATTTTTCTCTTTCACTTTTTAAATTTCATTAATTTCCTTAAAAAAAATAAAAAAAATTTACTTAAAATTTCATTAATTTCCTTAAAAAAAATATAGAACCGAACACTTGTACGGCTTATAATAACCCTCAATACCAAACTGTATGATGTTGATCACTTACTTTATATATTCTTGTATATGGAAAAAGAATGGTAAACATGTCATTTGAATAGTTGAACTAAAGTCAAATGAGGGTAAACATGTAATTTTAATCATTAAAGAAACAATTTAGTGGATCAAATCAAAGTCAAATGGTAAGAATGTTTTTTTTTTTTTTACATGTAAAACATGTCAACTAACTTTTGAGTTGTGAGTGAAAAACGAAATAAATCGTTTATAATACGAGTGATAATTATTTTTAAAAAATGTTTGAAACTGATATTTAGTCAAAACACAAGTTAGTAAAATTATCCCTTGAAAATTTCGTACAAATTCCTCCAACCTAATACCAAAAGACACGTTCACTAATTTGGAGAGTGCAGTTAGTCAGTCTCTGTCACTCCTATTCATTAGGCCGCGAAACAGAGACTGAGTGTGTAAAAGTCTCTCATTTGGTACTCAACGTTTCTTTTTCTTCTTTAAAAATACTGATTGAGCTTTCTCTTTGTTCTTGTAAATTTTTGTTTCTCTTAATTTCTTTACACTAAAAGATGTCTTTTAAGAGCAGAGGATTTGGAGGAGAATTACCTTCAAGAAATGTTGTTTCTAGGAAGTGTGCACTTTTGCTTTGGCTTGCCAGCTTTTGTGTTGGAATGTTATTCTCTAGGTACTTCTCTTTCGTGGGTATCTATTTATTTCCTTTGGGTTTTAAGATTTTGTGAATTTCTATGGTATTTTAGTTTCTGGGTTTTTGATGGCTTGACTAATTTATGCATTTTTTGGGCTAAACTAGTGTCATTGTATACTCACAATTATGAGGTTTTCTAAACACAGAGTTCATCATGAATGTGTGGCTTTACATGTTTATTTAATGGATATGCATTAAGTGATTTTATTTTTTTTGTTGGATGAGTAATGTGGGTGTTTGATAAAAGGTCTAGCCCAGTTCACGAGGTTCCTACGGTGTGTGGGGGAAGGTTAGACGTACGCATTCGACCGTGACCTCCATGTCACATTGTGGGTATTTGATATCTGCTATAATTTTGATGGATGAGTAATGTAAGTAAATAATTCTTGATGCTATTTGTTAGGTGAGTAATGTGAGATTTGTCATTGAGGGGTCATTGGGTTATATATATATATATATATATATATATATATATATATATATATATATATTATCATTCTGTCATGAAAGTTGGGGATTTTGGTTTGGACCAAATATTGCAATTATGGCTCGAGTCGGTGAGAGTTTGTAGTGTGCTTGTCAATGTGGTTCTTTAGTTTGGTTAGTGGTCGTTGTACAGTAGGGGTTAACTATAGTTCCCTGTGCATTCTTCTTTCTCCAATTTTCTGGGGTCGAACATTCTCTTCAACATCATTGTCATCCTTGCCTTAATCCCATAGTAATAGGGTCGACTTTTCTGTTCATATCTTTTTCAAAATTTCTTCCAAGTTCATATTTTTGTAAACTTGGGAAAGAAAATGTCTTAATCTTGTTTTTGTTTCTCTACACCTCCCAATGATCACTTGGTGTATTGAATTATTTCTGGTATTTGTGCTGAGAGTTCTTTAGTATTGCCTGGCATATAGGAAGACCAAAATGTCCAAAAATACTTTTTGATTTGCCATTTCCTCCTATAATGCTCATTAGGTGTTTACTTATTTTCCTGATCTAATTAAAATTTAATTGTGCATCTGACTTGGAGAGAATTGGACTTCTATATCTGTTTATTTCAATTATTGTATAAAAGAAGTAGCCCAGCAGTGGAAACAAAGTTTCATTGCAAAACCAAGAATGGTATTGCAATTAAAAAGGGGAGGAGCTAGGCAGGGAAGATGTTATTGACAAATTTTCATAATAAAAAAAAGCAATAGAGGAAGAAACAGAACACCACTAGAACTGTTCAGTAACAGCACGTTGCGATTTTTAACTCTGCCTCCCCTCCAACAATGTCCTATACAACCATCGCTTACACATTTGGCAGCATGCCAACAAGGTTGTCACCGCCACTGACAACCAACCCCCTCCTTACTACCATGACAACTTTTGATTGCAAATATTACTTTTCTGACAATCAAGATGTCATCACCATCGTCAACCACGTCCACCTGCAACTTCAACCACGTCCACCTGCAACCTGTCACCATCATCATTTGAAGCTTCTGATCATTCATAAATAACCATCGCCTCCTCCTCTTTAGTCCCATCCCATATTCTGTATGGGGGTAGATATTGGACATGTACATGACGCGGACACTTTGTCCTGCAAAATCTGGAGGAATAGGAGACGGGTATGTCAAGTATATGATGATATACCAAGGTATCGCATGTAGTACTAATAAATTTTGTGTTAATATAACATATATTTTCATGTATACTATCTTACTATGCCCTCTAATATTCAATATATACTTTAGACATTTAATTATGCATTTAGACATATAATTTATGAGTTTTCATCATATTTTCTTTCGCTGGGAGTGACCATTTATTGTCATTCTTTTGAATAATATTTGTTCTATTACAAATTTGGGCACATATGTATTAAAAATCATTCCAACATTTAGTTTCACATTTGTTCCAGCCCTAATTCCAATAATATCTCAAATTCCTGAGATTTAACCAAATGACTAAAGATTAAATTTATTAAATTTCACTGTAAGATTTTCAAATGTTTTTCAATAGTCAAGGAACATCTTATTTTACCAGTATCGTTGCACTCTAAGAAACTCTTCCATGTTTTATATAATATCTGGCTTTCATATTAGACCTATAAAAGAAGTATCTGGTTTCCAAATAAGTTGCTATGATATTCTTTTATCTGCATTAGAAACGAGCCAAGTTTTATATATGTGCACATACAAAAATATATGTATATATGTGTATACGTGTGTGTGTCTATAACTTAGATATAACTTTTCCTCTTTCTGTCTTTTATTTATTTTTATTTTTATTTTTATTTTTATTTTTTTGGGTGGAGAGAGGCTGAAAATTGTTCAGATTATATATATAGGGGGACTGTTATCACTATTTGCATGAGAGATTAATCAAGAGCTTTTGATTTCAGGATGTGGATGGTGCCTGAAGTCAACGATATTGTAAGCACAGCTGAACCCGAAGATGAAGGAAGAAACTTAACATCTGAGGATTGTAATCCAAAGCTAGTGAGTGTATCAATAGACTTCCATTTTAGCAAAAGCCAAAATTCGGTGCATTCAGAGCAAACTTTGGAAGAATGGCTTTGTTGGCTACTAGAATATTTGTTAAAATGAATGAACCAGGCAACTCAAGCCCTTACAGAGAATGGTTCAATTAAAGCTCATTTGAGATCCTTGATCGGCTAAAACGAGCTGAATTTAATCCTAGTTTAATGCTTCTTTGACCAAGCTTAGACACCCTCCAACTTGACTTAGCAACTTGTTTACAACTCCATTTTGTTTAGAGTTATTTTTTTGTATAAATTCCAAAGGGTTGCCTAATGCAGTGTTCTGTCACATATCAGAAAAGTAAGTGTTTACTAGGATAGTGTTCGTCCTACTGCCCTACCTTGTTCTCAAGGAAGATATTGAAAGTCAAATTGTATTGTTGAGATGTTTTTAGTTCCAATTCCGAGATGGATCCTTTCTCTTGCTAAGAACGCATTTCTTTTAGTTGGAAAACATGAAAGCAGTTTGTACATGATTTTAATGGATCAGTTCAGTAGTGAAACCAGAAAATTTTGTGAGAACATAATCTAATGATGACTAAAAAAAAAACAAATTTATAACAATTTAAATTCCAGTGGCTACCACAATGATCCAGAAGTCATTCTTCTTCCAAACTCAGCCTTAACCAGTCACACTTAGTTCCTCTAGTTTAGGTTTTGCTTCTTCAGTTGCTTTTCCTGGCTATAGTATTGACATTTTTGTAGTACTTTTGGTGTTTCTGTTTTAATTCAGCAGAAGGTTGTAAGCAGGGAATCAGGTGGCATCCCAACAGAAGTTTCAAGGGTGCATCATGCCATCCGGTAGGCCAACCTGATGCTTATTTGAGATTGATTTAACTTATTTCAGTACCCTACTCTGTAAAATAATCTAATTGCAAGGCGCTTCAATGGAATGCAGAAAATTATATAGAAAAGTCAGAAATTTTGAGAGTGCATCAGCTTCTGCAAAGACAGCACATGAGGCTCTACCAAAGGATTTTTCCATATCTGTCAACCCAAATATTGCTCAGTCAAATGCTAAAATAAAATATTTAATGGTTATAGGAATCAATACAGCTATTAGTAGCAGAAAACGAAGAGACTCGGTTCGGGAAACTTGGATGCCACAAGGTGCATAAACTGGCTTTGTAGAATCTTCTAATTTTGTATTTGGTTGGTTTTACTTTATTTTAGTTGGTTATTCTCTTATATCATCGATGGATTCTTTTATAATATATAATAAGGTGAAAAGAGAAGGAAGCTAGAGGAAGAGAAGGGCATTGTTATACGCTTCGTTATTGGTCACAGGTGAGAATTGATATACCTTTCAAGAGCTTATGTGAGTTAAGGGTGTAATAACATGTTCTTCTATTTAGTACGATTTGCTGCCTTGGCATAGTTATATATTAGGGATCTGGTCAAATTGTTTTTTGCTATTCTAGTTGTTTTAGATCTAGTCTATGACTTATCAGGATTGAAATAAAGTACCATTGTATTTGTTTTCTATTTTGTAGTGATGCAATTACAAAGCCAGCACCTATTTACCTAATATGATAAAACACAAAAGAATTTCTTGCCACCCATTGCTATCCATATATAACCTGGAACCATTGAAAATTATACAGTCTAATAAGTTTACCTATCATATAGTTGTAAGGTTGAAAAAATAATCTATTTGATTTTAACATTTCTTTGCCAATGTGTTTGTAAAAGAACAAGTTATATGTTGTCTTGAAGGAAGGCCTGGAATAGTCATGGTTTAATCATGCATGATTTGCAGTTCTGTATTGTACTTATATTTTTGGTGTTTGTATATCATTAAGGTTTACGCTTCAGGATTGATTAGTGGAAATGAGTTTTGCTAACTGGCTTTCTAATCATGTTACTAGTTCATCATCTGGTGGTGTTGTTGATAAAGCTATTGAATCAGAAGACAGAAAGCATGGAGACTTTTTGAAGCTGGTGATGTTTCTTTCTTGTTTCTATAGAATATTCTGATTTTACTGCACAAGGCTATTTTTTTAATAGCATGAACTACTATGATCGAGGACCAAAAAAAGGGTATTTCATTGATACTTTCTTGCTTTGTTCTTCTATGTGCCTTGAGCAGGACCATGTTGAGGGCTACCAAGAATTGTCAGCCAAGACAAAGACATATTTCGCTACTGCCTTTGCATTGTGGGATGCAGATTTCTATGTCAAAGTCGATGATGATGTTCATGTAAACATAGGTAAAAGGAATTTCCAGTTTTTATCTGTAATCTGTTACAGTACCTTGGTTTCTTGTTTTGAGAACATATTGAATAAAATGTAGTTTCTGATAAAAATCCATCGATTAATTGAAGTAATGAGGTTACATCTATAGGTTTTATATCATAACCAACCTTTATCACAAAAAAAATATGCACAAAAAAAGAAGAAAAAAAAGAAAAGAAAAGAAAGGAAAAAAATTGTAATTAAAAGAGAGAGAGAGAGGGTAAGAATTACAAAATTACTTTTATTTTGGGGTAAGTAACAATTTCTTTATTTGTGAAAAAAGAATTTGAAGTTTTGCCCTTCATCTTTTTATATTTGTTAACGGCCACTTGTATATAATGGTGAAATGTGTGGTAGAGAAGATGAGTATGAGATACGTCATGAAGGCTTTATGAAAACATTTTGAAAGAAAAATAATTCTCAATAGTTAATAGTTAATAAAGACCCAAATTTTTCAATAATTATCGTTGGTCTTCCTACTGTAATGGAAAATTAAAATGCAGTCCCATTTTCCATGCTAGATAACTGCATAAGTTGTTTATGTAGTGGCATAATTTTGAAAGATAGCAATGCAAAATAACTTACAGGTTTTCAGGTGTTTATGTTGTACGTAGAATTAATTTGTGAAGACATATATTTAATGCACAAGAAGTTTACGTGATTATGTCCCCTAGATTTCTTTCTGGAGTTGTATTTTATCTCCATGCATGAAGACTATCGTCACTGATTGCTCCAATAAATGGATTTGAAGTCCAAAATTCCAGTGGATGGGTGATTTAACTCCCTCTTTCATCACTTTGTTTGAGATTTATATATATATATATATAAAATAAAAAATACATGAATGATAAAAAATTGAATGGAATAAGTTAAATCTATGACTTCAGACACTCAACGATAATTTTTTATGATTAGATGGCTCTAATGTGGCATCCCTAGGTGTGTTAGCAGCACTATCATCTTCCCAAGCTACATTTCCTTCTAAAGTTGTTAGTGTGCAACTGCATTTTGAAACTTGAAATGGTTTTCTATATCGGAAGCTTATACTGAATATAACCTTTGTCTTTATTAGGGGTCACCGAATAGAATTGAGTATTCATTTTAATATAAAACCAGCTTTTAAATGAAGACTGCCTGTTGTTATTGAGAGGTGATATTGTGTTTCATATTTAATTCTTTTGGTCTGACTGAGTTCATAAACTCTTAATTTACTACAGCAACACTAGCAAGGACTTTAGTTAGTCACCATAATAAGCCCCGGCTATATATCGGTTGCATGAAGTCTGGTCCCGTACTATTTCGAAAGTAAGCACAGTTCTCTGAGATTTCTTTTACAAATTATTTTTTGATTGGTATTATTTGGTTTCTGAAAGGTTCTTATTTATATAGGGGAATGAAATATCATGAACCAGAGTTCTGGAAGTTTGGTGATACAGGAAACAAATATTTCCACCATGCTGCAGGACAAATATATGCTATATCAAAAGAGTTAGCTGCTTATATAGCAAAGAACCAGTAAGTTCCCACTTGTCTTTCTAGATTAGGTTGAACAACTTTGAAGTCTGATGATTGGACGAGCCACCTTGAACCATTAAGTTCTGATTTCTTGTGCTGTATTTTTTCTTTTCGAGTTGGAAGAGGTTTCAGACCATTTTTAACTTGGTCTACAATTTGATTGTATCAGCAAAGGCTGGTTTTGGTGCTTAAGGAATTCAATCTCACTTCTAATGATAGTTTTGTGTTTTTCATCTTAGGAATGTGCTGCACAAGTACGCTAATGAAGATGTTTCATTAGGAGCTTGGTTTATTGGATTAGATGTGGAGCATGTTGATGATAGGGGATTTTGTTGTGGTAGCCCACCTGGTAAAGCTTAAAATTATAGTTTTGAACTGTTGTACCATTACTTCTTCTAAGAAAAATATATTTTTTTTTCTTTCCCTGAATATCAGTTTGGTGAATGCTGGGCTTCGAAGTAAAATCTAGGGAATCCATGTGATACAACATAGGAAGTCACGTTCTGTATATGTGTAAAACAGGAATATAATATACCACGTTAGTCTTTTATGCCTTGACTAACACAGCAGTATTTCATAGAACCCACTGTCTGGCCGGATCTTTGGAATAAATGATATGAGAAAAACATGCCTACCTGTATAATAAAGTAATGGTTGTTCAAAACATATAGTTCGCTTCAATACATTAGACAAATTTGTCATTTATACTTTATGATTTTATCCTTGTCTTAATATTGAATTTAAATGTTCGTCAGTTGCCTGTTGCCTCGGTGCTTCCCTTCGTATACCCAGCAGTTTTTCATTTCAACTATGTGCCGAGAACAGTGTAATGTGACTAAACTAAATAGGAATATGTGAGTATGTTACTAAACTAAATAGCAATATAGGATGCATTTTGTTCACTGTAGAAGAGAAAATCCCACAGCCCTACATGATATGGTACACCACTAAACTTGGGGCCCTTCTGGTTGATTTGTCTAGGTTGACCACGTTTTTGGTTAGTTAGAGTGTACAGCACTTGCCAATTCTAAATTTTTGTCACTCCAAAATAACAAGAATTAAAAAGATTAGAGAAAATTAGATTATATATGCATGCACATATAAAACAACTACTGCTTAATTATGAAGTAATATAGGGTTTGGTGATGAAACTTGTTACTGCAGATTGCGAGTGGAATTCTCTATTTGGCGACCTCTGTATTGCTACATTTGATTGGAGCTGCAGCGGGATTTGCAATTCTTCTGAGAGGATCAAGGAAGTTCATGACCTCTGTAGTGAGGATGAAAGTGATTTATTGACTGCAATCTTTTGATCGATGAGCTGCAATTCTTCTAAGCTTGAAAGATGCCTCGAGCAAGCAGACAGATGATTCAATATACATGCTGGTATAGATAGCATATGTAATACTAGAATTTAAAACAATACATTTTTTATTAATAGTTTGAGAAAGACGCTCAAATGAGGGGAGGGGCTTAGGAGGCTTTCTTCATTATAGCTGATGAGAAGACCAACCTCCTCTGGGCGGCTGCAAAGGATGAAAGAAACAGTGCAACCCATTCCTTAAGTAGTTGGAGTGCTTGAATGTAGGTTTCTCTGCCATGGCTTAGACCTGCATTATAAGTTGTAATGTTTTTGGGTAACTTTTCGCCTACTTTTGGCCCATTCAATTAATAATGTTGTTTAGCTCTCACCGTTCCCTACTTTTCATGCTTCCAAGTAACGTTTGTTCTCATTAAGTTCTTTATTTCATGCTGAAGCTTTGTAGATGTCAAAATCTTCATGTTAACTAACTTGCAAGGGAGCAGTGAGCCAAAGGTCCTTTGAAGCTCATGCCAAGTCAGACAGATCCTAAGAGAGAGTGAACAAAATGGTCGAGTCAACTTAGCTAGATTGATCCTAAATTTCTTGTTATGTAGGGAACAGAATTCCTTCCACTCTGACTTTGAATGCATGTGATGGATTGATGGCACGATGATTAGTATAGAGCTAATCCTTACCCTGTCATAATTTTACCGTCCGACTGGTACTCTGACATAGAAACTATTGAGGTTTGCTGACAGGACCTCTTGTTTGAAGTTATCAGCTTTACCCATTGAAGAATGTCTGTCATTATGCCTGAGCTGTGGCTGTGTTGTTCCGCTTAGTTTATGAAGAGAAGGTCTTAGCTTCTCTCAATGAGGAGAAGCGGGCATCATCTGGTGCCTTTTGCCTTATGTTGGAGGAACAGAACTAGCACCACAGCAGAAGAGCCGAGAAATGCACTCTTTGAATTTATTGATGCTTCTTTTAGAACCTGTGTGAATGTCATTCAGAGTTTGTCATGTTGAGTATGTGAAAGATGCATCATGGTTGGAAGATGAACTGAAAGATTGGAATAAGAACAAAAGCTTGAGAGAAAAATGACATTTAGCAAGAATATATTTAGAAATTAATAAAAATTTGTAGTATATCTGCTTCTTTTTTTTTTGGTGGGTGGGTTTGATTTGAAAAATGATTAGAAAAAACCCCTTGAAAAAGTGCAAATATTAAAAGAATTGGTATATGCTGTAGCAGCCTTCGTGAACTTATTGCAATCCAATGATTTAATTTTAAAAGTGGGAAGTTGAGAGTTCAAGTAATGATAAGCGCAAATGGGGTGTATGAATTTCTTTTTGTTAGGCGCTAAATGTTACACATTTTAGCCTATTTAGTTGCATGTTTTATTCTCTTAATAATAGTTTATTTGTAATTTTACATTATTTTATTGTTTTTATATATTTCGGGCTTTAATTGTAAAATCAGTCAAGACCAGTGATTGCTTTAACAGATGACATTCTGTGGGACTGAGCAATGTTGAAGATCAAGTCTAATTATACTTAGAAAATATTCCAAAAGAAGCCACAAGTTGATGAGAATGGAAAAAATAAGAAAATGAAAACTCCTTCTCTAAAAAGGAAACTATCGCTGAAGTTAGTAACTTGAACCCGTTTTGGTAATCTGGCTATATCTCTCTTATTGAGTGTCAAAACAACTAAATTCTCGCGTAAGTTGAAAGGAAATTCAAAGAGCTACAATTTTGTATTTCACGAGGATTCCCTAAAACAGTTGTTTACCTTATCAAAATTAGTCTGGAAGTTTGTACGAATTTTGGAGTCCTTATTTGACAGAATTTCTATGTATGTCTTCTATAAGAAAAAAGAAACTTTAGGGCTGATATTTATTATTTAAAGGGAGTCCTCTACAGCGTTGAAGGAATATACAGAGGAGCTTGAGGCTAAGATCAGAGAGGAGCATTCAGAAGAAGGAAGGGATCAATCCATGGCGGTGAAAATGTTTTCCTCAACCATGAAGAATTCTACTCCAGTCATGCTTGGCTAAACGCTTTGCTAGGGTTGTGATGTAGCCCTAGCTTAGCACACTGGTTTGATTATATTTAATTATTGGAGAACAATTTTTATCATACATGATTGTGTAATCTATAGGATTTTTAATTAACTTTTCAATAAGAATCGGTTTTAGAGTTTTAATTCAATTACAAATATTTTTTTTTTTATCTTGTCTTAGATATTTTAATCTTGTGATTGAATACAACTCATTCGCTTCTTGTAGTTGTAAATGAGATGATTACACAATGGTATTTCTCTGAATATAATGTTAGAGATTTGATAGATTGTGCCTAGAAAAGATAGACCATGCCACACCCTAGAGTAAAGTAAATAGGTAGATGATTTATACTAATCGAAGATAGTCCATGCTTAACTTTAAATTATATTATTTTCTAACTGAATTAATATGTGCTTGTAGTTATGATTAATTCTCTATGCATGTTATATGATATATCTCCAATAAATTGATATAATTGACGGGTGGTGCGATGTTAGTGGTGAAGTCATACCCCTAGTTCTCTCCTCTATTTTCTACATCCTATTTAATCATTGTTCTTTAGTTTATTTTATTTTCTATGTAGTTAATTTAAAATTAATCATCACAATTCGATTATCCTACTTTCAAGTTAATTTGAAATTTAAGAAATCTGTTGACAAACTTATTTTACACAAGTTCCTTGGGTACGACACCCTTACAAGTAAACCCTATCTGTAAAGATTCGAGCACTTGCGAGTGGTACATATAAATTTTACAACAAGTTTTTGGCACCAATAACTAAAACAAGTCCCCAGCAACGGCGCCAAAAACTTGTTATGAGATTTATATGTACCACTCGCAAGTGCACGAATCTTTACAGATATGGTTTAGTTGTAAGGGTGTCGTACTCAAGGGACTTATATAAAATAAGTTTGTCAACAGATTTCTTAAATTTCAAATTAACTTGAAAGTAGGATAATCGAATTGTGATGATTAATTCTAAATTAACTAAATAGAAAATAAAATAAACTAAAGAACAATGATTAAATAAGATGTAGAAAATAGAGAGAGAACTAGGGGTATGACTTCACCACTAACGTCGCACTACCAGTCAATTGCATCAATTTATTGGAGATATATCATATAACATGCATAGGGAATTAATCATGGCTACAAGCACATATTAATTCAGTTAGAAAATAAGATAATTTAAAATTAAGCATGGACTATCTTCGATTGGTATAAACCATCTACCTATCTACTTAATTCTAGGGTGCAGCATGGTCTATCTTTTCTACGCATAATCCATCAAATCTCTAACATTATATTCAGAGAAATACCATTATGTAATCATCTCATTCACAACTACAAGAAGCGAATAAGTTGTGTTCAATCACAAGATTAAAATATTTAAGACAAGATAAAAAAAATATTTGTAATTGAATTAAAACTCTAAAACCGATTCTTATTGAAAAGTCAATTAAAAATCCTATAGATTACACAATCATGCATGATAAAAATTGTTCTCCAATAATTAAATATAATCAAACTAGTGTGCTAAGTTAATGTTACATCACAACCCTAGCAAAGCGTTTAGCCAAGCATAACTGAAGTGGAATTCTTCATGGTTGAGGAAGACACCTTCACCACCATGGATTGATCCCTTCCTTCTTCTGAATGCTCCTCTCTGATCTCAGCCTCAAGCTCCTCTGTATATTCCTTCAATGTTGTAGAGGACTTCCTTTAAATAATAAAATATCAACCCTAAAGTTTCCTTTTTTCTTATAGAAGACATACATAGAAATTCCGTCAAATAAGGACTCCAAAATTCATACAAACTTCCAGGTCAATTTTGACAAGGTAAACAGCTGTTTTAGGGAATCCTCGTGAAATACAAAATTGTAACTCTTTGAATTTCCTTTTCAACTTACGCGAGAATTTAGCTGTTTTGACACTTGATGAGAGAGATACAACCAGATTACCAAAACGGGTTCAAGTTACCAACTTCGGCGAAAGTTTTCTTTTTGGAGAAAGAGTTTTCCTTTTCTTCTTCTTTCCATTCTCATCAACTTGTGGATTCTTTTGGAATATTTTCTATGTATAATTATCTTGACTGATTTTACAATTAAAGTCCTGAAATAAATAAAAATAATAAAATGATGTAAAATTACAAATAAACTATTACAAATTTTACGCCTAACACTTGCTAATAAATATATATATATATATAATGACACTTTTTTTTCCCCTAATAGGGTTAACTATTAAATTAAAAAATAAAAAACATTAAATTAAGTTCAGTACCAAAAAGTAATTTTGCTTTTTGGTTTCTTGGGTGTTGACACCTTAATCCATACTCAATTTTCTTTTTTTCACCATCCATACTCATTACTTACCCACAACTTATTATTTCCCACACCTGTATGATATATACAGACGCACATGATTCACTACAATCAATACGGCAACAAACTTCTAGTAAGTTCTAAAATCATGGGCTTGGGTTTATCCATTCAATTTAAACCCGACCCATTACTGTCCGGGCCGTTCGTTTTAAAGAACCGTTAGTTATGAGAGGGCAGTTAGTGGGCATCTCTCTCCTATAAATTTCCATTTGCCAGCGGAGAGAGAGAGAAACCGCCAAATGGGTACTGTGAAGTCTTACGATGCTAACCCGTATATGGTTTCTGCTTCCTGTAGATTGATTATTTCTCTTTACTGAACAGAGGGGGTTTGAGGAGACTTGCTTCAGAAGTGATGTATCTTGGAAATTGACGCTTTTGCTTTTGCTTGGTAGTTTTTGTGCTGGAATGTTTTTCGTTAACAGGTATTTTTCTTTCATGGTTCTGTTAATTTCCTTCAAGAATGGCTGATTTATGTACTTTTATGTGAGGGTTTTTTGATTGCTTGACTGATTTATGCATTTTGGCAAAGTGGGTATCTCTGTATTTTAAGAATTATGGGGATTTTTCCAAAATTAATTTGAGGGTTTGTTGTGAATTTTTGGTTTTACATGTTATTTAAGGGTTACTTATTGAGTTATACTGGGGGCGAGGCCGGCAACAAAGGTAAGATTGCTCCATTGTGATACGTAGGGTTTAGGGTCGAAACAACGAAACGGGCTAAGTTTGCCCACATGTGACTCTTCCCAATCCCGTACTTGCAGGATCCTCGCCCACTGGATTTGCCCTTTTTTAGTGAGTGATATTATTTGTTGGGTGATAATGCACATTGGTGAACGAGAGGTCATTTATTTCTTTTTTTTGGCAAGAAACTCGCACTTATTTTTCCTCCGATTTGAACCTGACCTTCTACTTTGAAAAGTGAAGAAGCACCACTAGGTTACAGCCCTCCATTGGTATAGTGGTTGTTGGGGAACTTAAAATTAGGCATTTTGGTTTAGATTTAAATATTGCATGGTTAGTGTGGGTGAGAAGCTAGGGTGTGCTTGTCATTTTGATTCTTGAATTTGGGTATTGTGGTCTAGACCAGGGCAGTTCTAATTTTCTCTTAAATCTTTTATCTTTGTTCAAGAACTCGGTGGTTTAGACTTTAGATTAGGGGCCGGTTCTAATTTGGGTGTTGTGGTTTAGACCAGGGGGGTGGGGTGTTGGAGGATGGGATGGTAGGGGAGCAATTGTTTAAGTTATATATTAAGGTGAACTGCTACACCATTTAAACGTCATACTAATCAAGAATTTTTGATATCAGGATCTGGGCGGTGCCTGAAGCCAAAGATGATAGAAGAAACTTAGTTTCTGAGAATTTTATTCAACTTGTGAGTATCCATAATCTTCCATTTTACCAAAATCTTATTTTGGTTTCATGAAAAGAAGAAGAAAAAAACAAGAAGAAGAACATTATTTTGGTGAATTTGGAGCCAACTTCAAGAATCCCTTGATATTCTTAAGAACAAAGTCTTTATAGAGATTGGCTACTCATTTGAGATCCTTCATGAGCTTTCCAAATGCAATTCTAGTCTGAAACGTTTGAAGTGAGCCCAAACGACCTCGAACGCTAGTCAACGACTTGTTTACAACTTGCCCAATTTCTTTTTTATATTAATTTAAAAGGCAGTATTACCGAAATGCTGTGTGCTGACATTACTAGTTATTAAATCCAAAAAAAGTGTTTATATAGGACAAATTTTGTCTTACTGCCACAGGCCGCGGGTAATTTGTTCTCAAGGAACATGTTCAAGGCAAAATTGCCAAAAAAATGTTTAAATAGGACAATTTTATATTAATTTTGTTTGTTGTAAAAGCCAAGAAACAGCTTAGGACATCCTATTCATAAGATCACTTCAGTTGTGACGTCCAAGCAAATTTTGTAGGAATATGTCCAAACAAAGTTTCAAAGGCCGTAAGGCCATCTGGTAGGCAATCTGATGCTTGTTTGAGTGGAAGTTCTCTTGTATGCAGTACTCTAGCTTGTACAGTGACCCAAAGGCAAAGCTTGTTTTTGGGATGCAGAACACTAAATAAAAAAGTCAGAAATTTTAAGAGAGGATCAGCTGCTGCAAAGACAGCACATGAGGGCTCAACCAAAGAATACTCCCATATCAATAAACCTAAAAATTGCTAAGTCAATTGATAAAGTAAAATATTTTATGGTTATAGGAATTAATACAGATTTGGATAGCCGAAAACAAAGAGATTCCATCCGAGCAACTTGGATGCCACAAGGTGCATAGACCTGGCCTTGCAGTTATCTTTTAATTTCAATATTTGGTCTGTTTTACACTATTCTAGTTGGTTATTGTGTCTGATATATACTTGATGGGTTAGTGATAACAAATATTTAGGTGAAAAGAGAAGGAAGCTAGAGGAAAAGATGGGCATTGACGTCATAAGCTTTATTTTGGTCACAGATGCAAGCTAATAGACCTTTCTTTGAGCTTGTGTAAGTTAAGGGTGTACTTGTATTGACATTATTGTTCTACAGGGTGTTGATTTGTAAGCATTGCATAGTTACATTAGGGATCTGGTTTGTTTTGGTTTTTATCATCTCAGGAATTGGCTGCACAATTATGTCCCATTCAGACGTTTCAGTGGGAGCTTGGTTTATTCGATTAGATGTGGAGTATGTTGATGATTGAAGGCTGTGTTGTGGTTCAACACAAGATAAAGCTCAAATTTTGTGCTATTTTTTAGTTCAATTTTCTTTTTTCCGAAAATCATTTTGGTCAATATCAGGCTTCAATGAAGAATCTAGGGGAATCAATCTATACAATATATGAAGACACATTCTATATCTCTTGGGAGAAGGAATTTATAATACCGCAATCAGTTTTTGACAACCTTGACCATATCATCTAAATTTTGCAATAACAGGTTTGAAATAAACATGGTTGCATGTTATATAGTAATACTTGCTCAAAGGATATACAATACTTCAATAAGATAGACTAACGGATTTTTTCTATTTCATAATTTTATTTTTTCTTAATACTAAAATTTATTGTGCCGGTAATTTGTCTGTTGGATCAGTGCTCTCCCTGATGGGTGACCCGGGGTACCTGCTGAGTTTATAACAGTGTAATTGGCTAAAATTAAGTAGGATAAAAGCCAGATATCGGGTAGTTATCTTTACTGATCACACAGACACACACATTTGTTTTGTCTTGAAAACAACTATGGGGATACCTCAACCTCTGTTGAATCGATCTTCACGTTTGTTGGAGTCCCCAAATTATTCACTTGTGATCCTAGACCTCTCTACATGCCATGGAATTCCATTTAATTTCTGGGCCTTATGGTTTAGTTTTCTATATTAACCATGTCATTGGTTAGTGGGGATGTGGCAGCACGTGCAGCTAGCTTAAACTTGTCGCACCAAAAGAATGAAAACTTGAATAGAATAGGGAAAGATAGATTATTTATATATGCAAATATAAAACAATCGTCGTTTACAAATTAATATTGTCACTGCAGAAGTCGATGGGGTTGCAGATTGCGAAGTGACTGCTCAAAGTGGTGACATCTGTGTTGCTACATTTGATCCAAGATGTGGTGGGCTCTGCAGTTCTTCTGAGAGGATCAAGGAAGTTCATAACCGGTGCGGAGAGGATACATATGAGAATGCTTTATGGATTTCATTCTACTGAGCGATGCACAGCAGTTCTTCCAAATTGAGGAAAGAAACTCTAGAGTAAGCAGGCAGATGGTCTTTTTCAATATGATTCAATGAATGCTGAGCAAAACTGCGAGACACCCCTTCTTGAGAGGTGATTGCAACAGTAGCTAAAGATATCTCAAGATGAAGTACAGCCTTTTAGTTCAATCCTGTTGATGTCAGAAGAGTGGGTGAGGAAGGGATTGCTGTGGGGGGCCAGCTCTCTCTATTTTAGCTGATGAGGAGGAGCTAGACGAGCCCAACGCAATGTGGACTGCAGAACGATTACTATAGGTGTCTCTTCAACGGCCATTGAACTCGATGGTAAGTTGAAATGTTTGTGGCTGTGGACACTATTTTACCTTCCTTTTTGCTCCATAAAGCCATATATCTTGAATTAAGCTGTAATGGCTTCCCTACGTCCCTGCTATTCGTTATTGCAAGTAGAGTAACTTTGTTTACCTTCACTAAGTTCTTTCTTTTGCGCTGAAGCTTTTCATTCTATAACTTCAACAGTTCATAACATCTGCTAGTGGTGTCTATGAGAGCCTAACTTGAGCTTTTGGAGAAAGAGAAATCGTACTTAAGCTAACGGACACAACCCTCGTTCCAGGTAATGAGATGTGTAGCTTTGAAATCCTGTGACAACAGTTATGGCATTTTCTGATTGAAAATACATAACAAGAAAATGAATGATTCCTGTGCTGAAAAAAGAATTCAATCTACCGTCCTCATTCATCTACATGAGTTGAAAGTTATAGATTAGTGACCATTTTCATGCATGCTCAGTTGAACAAATCAGAAGCTCACTTATATATCTATCTTCGATTTTAAACAGCAAATAATTTCATTCTGCCAAATTTCAAGTTAAAATAGCTAATCATTTAACACACACACACTTTTTTTTTTTTTTTTTTTTTGATAAGTAATCATTTAACACACACACACACACACACGCATACATCTAGTGGAATTAGGTATATCTTTAGTGTGTGAGTGAAATATCCACAGCTCCGTGAAGCATATTCATGTTCGAAGTAAACAAGAATCCTAAAATTGAACTAATATTGTATATTTCATCCATATGCATGGTTTGGCCTTTAATGATTTATACTAAATAACTGCACATTTGGAAATTATGCTGTTCCTAACAGAGTATTTTTTAACTTCTAGGGAAAATTGCATAATACCCCCTGAACTCATACTTTTTTTGCCCGAAAGCCCCTAAATTATTTTTTGACAGAGGATTCCTAAATTATTCAAACCCCTACTTTAGCTAGCCGTTAAGAAGTAAACAAAATGTGTCACATGCTTCAATGTGACTATTACTAATTTATGTAATGATTGAAATGCCCATTTGGAGGACCAAAATGCCCTTGACTTATTTAACTATAAACCCCAATCTCCAATCATCTGCAACAAATTTCTTGTGAGGGCAATACTTAGGACTAATAGTTTCTAATTAACTAAACCTAACAACAACTCATCGTTAAACAACTTGCCATGAATAAGCAATTACAGTACACAAAACCCTAATCTGATCAGCATGCAGAAACTATTATAGCACACAAAGAAAACAGTTTTTGTTTTTGTTTTTTTTGTTTTAACTGTGTTCAAAATAATTGTTCATGGAAAGGAATGTACAATCTTTCTTAACTTCCATATCAGTGTACCTTAAAAATCATTGAAATTCTTCAGAAAATGTACAAAATTTGATTGAAAATAAAATGCATGGGGTGGCATATTAATAACTGCATTCATAAACCTATACATAAACTAGGAAAAAAAAACCCGGATATATATGATCAGCTACTTATAACTATATATAGGCTGTATATTTAAGTTGCAGTAATTAACACTTCAATTAGAAGATTTAATTTGATAGGTTGGATCGATAGCAACAACCGTGTGGTAAGAAATTATCCAAAAAAAACCCTTGTGGTAAGATGCAATGAGTGCAATTCTGATGATTTTCATAAAATTGAAGTAAGGCATGGATCACAATGTGCTACGCATTTCTCATCCAAGAAAAGAAAATTGTTAATGTGCATGCATGTACTTGAAAGTGCTATTTTTGTCTTTTGACATAGCTTTAGCAATAATGAGATTAAGAACATATATAGAATCTTTCACCCACCTAAACCACTTTGTCAATTAAAAGTGAGGACCTTTATGCATACATACATACATACATATATATATGTATATATCGGAAATATCTCTTGCACATGAGTGAACAAGAAATTTATCCACACTGAGCCATGCATACTGACTTTGGATATGATTTTTTTTTTTGTTGATAACTTCTTATTTTACACTTGAATCATATCCAACTGTTATTATACATTTGAATAAATTTCTTGCTCACTAGTGTACAACCGATCATTTCCGATATATACCCCAGAATTGGTACATTTGACATGGTTTTTCACTACTCCTATTCACTCTGCTGGTCCCTTATATATATATATATATATTAGTTATACCTTTATGCATATAAAAACTAATAATACAAATATAATTAATTTTCTAGGATTCCTAATACATCCTCCACCTACTACACAACAGTAGCTTTATGAAGGTTTTGTGGTCAGATTGAATATTTATGTTAATGGCCCTAGGTTGATGCCACTGCAAGAAACTAGGTACTGCAAAAAACTAACATGCATGTGAGATACAAAGGCCTCATATACCTGTATATATATAAGACTCAAAAAATATAAAGATGATCTAACATATATGTATATATGACAGGAAACAAGTATTTGGAGTCAGATTCATGGAGTGTAATTTTTCTAGAAAATCAAATAGAAAGGAATAGGGGAAATTTTTGAAACACTTACCAAAGAAGGTTAATTTGATAGAAAGAGAGCTGCGATTATCATAAGAAGTTACACGTGATATTGGCACGGCTCAATCGAATAATAGAACTCTGTGCTGAGCGCTGCTTTTTGGTTGAACCGTACCAATATCTCGTGTATAGAGTTATCCAGCATTCCGTGTCTGAACTCAGAGATTGAATCACCCGAGCGCGCATATAGACACATATATATGCATGGAGAGAAAAATAGTCTTGAAATAAATGTGCAGAAGAGTAAACAAGACATGGAGAAGATGAAATAAGTGGGGAGATGAAGATGGCCTAGGAATATATTGTTGTATTGAAGATGTTATATAATGTTCATAGTGTGTGTGTGTGTGTGTGTGAGAGAGAGAGAGAGAGAGAGAAATGGTTTTGAAGAAGTTGGCATTGAATTTGCCAACAACCCAACAACAAAAAGGAGGTTGGGTATATTTATTCAAAAGCTAATAGACGATGAAAAAGCTCACAGAAGCAAATGTGGAACTTTCATTATGCATTTATGGGGTTGGAAAAAGCATATTAACACTGTGACACCTGCAATATTTGAATTTCAAACCAAAAAAGGTTCTTGGTTGGTGGCCTGATTTTTTTTAGCAGTGTTTGATATCAATTCTTTCTGTGTAACAACTTTGAAAGCGAAATTACCTTTCCAAAAATTATAAAAAACAAAAAAACATTCAAAGCGAAATTAGTTCATTTTCATCACATAAAGCAGTCAAAAAAAATTTCTACCGCCTTTGAATTAAGGTTTGCTTGCATTGTGGTCATTGGAAAACTGGTTCTCTAATAATGACTAACGTTGTTTCAGAAGATTGCAACCATTACCCAACTCCCCATTTGCGATATATGGACTATAGCTAGGACTATAGTGTATGAACACAGACCAGGTTTATTGTTGTTTACATTTATGGAAAATGACCTAAAACACTAACCGACGTCTTCTCTGTTTGGCGGGCGTTTTATTTTTTAGTGTGTTTTTGTCGGGTACTGTAACAGTGAACAGTGAACAGTTAAAAACACGTGTTTGATAAAAAAATATTTTGTTTTACATAGTGTTGAAACATTTCGTGAATAGTGGTCAAAAATCAAAATACCAATTTAGTGTGTTTACAGCACTATAACAACAACGGGTACGGTAAGGATGAATAGTAAAAAAAAAAATTTAAAATACTCTTAAATGATATTTTTAAACTAACCATTATATTTTTCAAACTTGAAACGTTTTTTTACCAAACATGTTTTATGTTTTTGTTTCAAAAAATTTTGCAACAAATAAACGTTACCAAATATGCTTCCGATTACTATTCAAATTACTTTACAATAAAATATAAAATACAAAACGCCAACCAAATAGAATACTATACATGCCTTAACTGAATTCCATATTTACCCATATTTACTTTCATATATATGTTTTAAGTGGATTCCATATTTATCTTTTAAAATATATCTAAAAGATAAAACTGTTTGGGCTGTTGTTTTAGATCTGAGTAGTAGTATCATTTTTCTTAGTTTATTATGTAGACAAAATAATTCTTGACTATGAAATATTAATTAAGTAGTAGTCAAAAGAGTAACACCTTCTTAAAACTTAAAAGGCCCCATGAGTCCATGACAATAGTCCTAGCTTTCGATTGAATTTTTTTTCCTTCTTTGAGATATATAAAAGGTTAAATTATTGATTTTTTTTTTTTCTTTGAGATATATAAAAGTTTAAATTAATAATTTAATATAACTTTCAATTAGTAATTAAATAAAAGAGAGCTCATAGTGAGAAGGCTCTCAAGATAAGCAGTGTAAATAAAATATTTCTTGATAATGAATATTTTTACTTTTTGCGAAATTTATTGTTGGTCATAAAAAAAAAAAAAAAAAAAAATGAACAATGAGCTGTTGTGTGTGGTGAATATTTTTTTTAAAAGATCTTTTTCCTTGCAGTGGAAATTAACCCGAACATGAAACTCTTGTGACAACCTTGTAAATCTAATATTAATTTGGAATTGATTTCCAAAAGCCAAATTAACTAAAAGGTCAACCACTAGTTTCCTTTTATAGCCCTGCCTCTCTCCATGCACATTAAAGGGGTGTGATTGAATTAATCTAGCCAATTAAGAAAATGATTCTTACACCTGCAAGTGTTGTACTCAACCAATTAACATGCGTTGAAGCGGTAAATTTATATTATAAAATTTGAAAGAGAATGAGATCTACTTATATGAAAATGGTAGCATCAGCTTGATTTCCTGATTGGAAAGTTGAAGCATTTCAGCCCTCCCATTACGCAACTATTGATTGTGCACATGCATCCCAACCTCCCTAATCAACTCCACTCGTCTGTGTGATTATAGGGAAACACTCCCCGCACTTTATGGGCCTAATTGTTTGGGCCTTCTGGACCCTACCATTTCGCCTAAAACTTTTATAAACACGTGGAAAAATGGCTTCTCTCTCTTAAAAAAGACAAGGGTAAATAAGGACAAAAAAAATTATTAATTAAATTTTTCTGAATTTGCAAAATAACTCCCCTGAATTTCTGTAAAAACACCAAAACTATAAATATAAATAAATATATTTTGGGCTTCCTCTCCCGCTCTTGCATTTTGTGATTTAGAATAGGACTCTATTACAAAATGCAAGAGCGGGAGAGCACCCAATCCCAAAATATTTGAGAGCAGAAGCGTCTGCATATTATTATTATTATAATGCATATATATATATTAATTAATTAATTAATTTATGTGTTATTATATAAATTTATACTGTTAAAAGTTTAGCCCTTAAGTATTAAGTTTGGCCCAATAAACATTATTTCATTAACATGCCAATCGCACAGCTCTCTCTCTCTCTCTCTCTCTCTCTCTCTCTCTCTCTCATAGATATGGTCACTTCCATCTCTTTCTTAAATCTTAAGGTGAAGCATTGAAAGGTTTGGTTTCTTCTTAAAAATTGGGTCGTTGTTTCATCTTTTTCCTTATCAGAGATGGAGGTCTGATTTCTTGCATCGGTGATGGTTTATAAGGTGGCTGTTGAAAGGTGATTCAAATAGAAATAGTAGGACAATACATATGAGATTTGTTGATTGGGGATCCATTTGAACCCGTGTTAAGAAACATGAGTTTTCAAATTGAATTTGCGAATTTACAAAAATAAGTTCTTGAATTCCTGTCGAATCCACTCTCAATTCGGAAATCTCTGTTTGGCAAATCATGTGACTTAGCCTGCTATATAATCCGACAAATAAAAACCTACTACGAGTCTATGTGACTATTTATGTGTCAAATATAATGAAACTCATATTGAAATATAAGATAATTAATTATTTAGAAAGTTGTAGTCCATTTTTTTTAGGTTTCATCTTAATATAGTATCTTTATTAGACTATTAAAGTGTCAATCACCATATATATCAAATTGTGCATTTATTATATATATACGTCACATTGCATCTTTGCAAGAACTGTTGAGATATTATATATTTCAGACATCTCCTATATATAATTAGATTGTATATCTAGTTATATATAAAAATTGTGTCTTTGATTATTAATATACACAAAATAAGGAGATGAATTTAAATTTTTTTGCAAAGTATTGAAAAATTGTAAAAACATTATAATTTTTGGTGTAGATTTTGTGCGAATCAAATTCTTATATTTGAGTACCATAAAACTTGCCGTGAAAACAAGCAAAAAAAAAATAAAAAAGAAGAAGAAGAAGAAGAAGAAGATGATGATGATACAACCATAAATGGAAAACTAAAAATATAAAAGAAATGAGATATGAAAAACTGAAAAATAAGGAAGAAAAAAGAGGCGTATTTTAAAATAACCACGTCATATTTTATCTATATCGGTTTTAAGTCGGGTATTAAAGTAGTCAAAAATATCATTTTCCATATATAATATATATGCAAATCATACATAGATCCCTTCATATTTAATTTTGTGTATGCTAGTAACTTGATTATGAAAAGAGGGTATATTGGTCAAAGCATAACTTATTTTCCTGAAAATTGAATAAAACAATCCAAAATCTTCCATCTTATTTTCCTCCGGGAAAAAAGGAATATGGTCCCTGCTTCTCTGACACAGCAGAACAATAGAGGACCAATCTGAAAAAAAAATACCTTTTTCCATTCTTTTAATTTGTTTCCCTACCATCACAAGTTTTTTTAAAGTGCAAAAAGACAATCTTGAAATATGTTTGAATTTGTAAATAACCCAATTAAACTATATTTTGTGCATAAACTTTCCTAAACTATTTCATTTTGTTATAACATACCCTAACGACTATACTATAATTCATTAAATGACCATAATATCCCATCATATTGAATTATATTTAATATATTTTTCTTATAAAAAATTATGAAAAATTTTATACTAATTTGATGAGATATTTTTCATTAAATTTGCATAAATTTACCTTTAATTTTTTTAATTAATTATTTAAATAAAAAAATTTAGTATAATTTTTTTAAAAAAATTAATTAAGTTTTTAATTTTTTAATAATGTATTACATGAAAAGAAGATATTTTTTTTCAAAAGTATTTTATTAATTTTTCATCAATATATTGTATAAAAAAATGATATTTTTTAACTATAAAAATGTTTAAATTAGATATAATACATGTTTAAATTAGATATAATACGTTTTATTATAAATAATAAAGTTTTAATAATAAGTTAATCAATTTAAAAAATGGTAATTACAAATCTATTTATTTATTTTTTTTTATTTTTATAATAAATTAATACTAAAAATAAAATTAAGGTAAGTAGTATAATTAATATTTACATAAGAGAAAAGATAATAAAAATAATTTAATATAAATGAAAATTTGAATGAGAAAAAAAGTAAAATAGTCTTTTGTGATTAATTTGTCCTTAATTATAACAAATTAATAGTTCTGGATGGTTTTTAGTACAGGAATTATTTGTAAAAGGACAGTAGTTTAGGAGGTTTTTTTTTTTTTTTTTTTTTTTTTTTTTGGCGCTTAAAACCTATATAAAATAAATAAAAGAGAAAAAGCGATAAATTGAATAAAAATCAGGTGGTCCTGGGATCACCGAAGTTATGTGCTTCCAACTCTAAATCTTAATTCGATCTTGTGATTGATTGATCAGACGGTTGTCCCCAAAACACGCAAATCATTGCCACACGCCAAAGCATAATGCAGATTCCAGAATCATAATATAACAAGAACTGTAGTATCGGTTGTAGCATAAAATAAAACCGTCGTACGAAATACGATCTCCTCCCTCAATTTGTCTTGGCGTAATCAAACGCAGTTTCCTTGCAAAACGGGACAGCTTCAACTTTCTTCTTCCGATTTCGTGTTCCCATTCACAACCCTAATTTCATTAGCGTCGCTCCAAAAAAGGGTACCTTCTCTCTCTCTCTCTCTCTCTCTCTCTCTCTCTCTCTCTCTCTATAGATTTTGATCAAATCATTCACAAATTCCAAATACCCAATTCGATCTCTTTGGTTTTGTGTTTGGTAATCGTTTGGTATTCTACAAAGAAACCCACGTTAATGCTATATTTTTTTCTTTCTTTTCATCAATTGCTTTCTGAATGTATATGTATATATAAATACGTATATGTATGTGAATATAATAGTTATTTGCGCATATGTATATTTTGTAAAGTTGTTTTGATGTCTGAAATTTGCAGATAGCAAGGGTGGTAGCCTGAATCTTGCCATGGCCAAAAGCTCCTTCAAACTGGAACACCCCTTGGGTTTGTCTTCTTTTTATTGTATTTGTTGTTTGTTAATATATTTGTTTGTATTCTTTAAAGAAATATTTTGTTTTTGTTTGATTTTGTGAAAAATTTAAATTGGGGATGGATGGATTTTGTATGCTTTGATGGGTTTTTCTTTTTTTAATGCTAGTTATGATTAATGTGTACCATTATGAACTCATGATGGCTAATTGATTTGTGAATGCTAAAAATATTTTATATTCAAAATTTTTTTTTATAAAATTTGCTTCTCTTCATGGAAGTTATCTGGCGGGTTTTGGATTGGAAAGTGATTTATTTATATAGAAAAGAATGGTACCTTTGACTGTGTGTTGTGTTCATCAAAATTTATTTGATATTACATGTGGGTTTATTCATGTGTGTCACATATTAATATTGTCAGGTCTTTTAAATTGCGCTGGTTTTGAATTTCAGTTTCTGAATTATGTCTTAATTTTTTTTGTCGTTTCTGCTACTTATGTTTTAGAGTTTGTGTCTTAAAGAATTTGTTTGCTAGCATTGACCTGGCGAATGTGATGGTATTTTCTCACGATCCGGAAGATACTGTATGAGTTCTGTTTTCCGATGCGATTCATGCATGAACTCTATGGTTTAGACCCTTTGGTTGTTTATAGAATGTTTTATTGCTAAAAAAATGTAGGCTTAAATGCATGAAATTAAATCTTTCTTTTCTTGTTTTATCTGGATGACTGTGACAATCAATTACTTGGTTGACTATTTGGTATTTTATATGAGGGGGATGTGGAGGATTTAACATGCTGATAGTTATGGATCGTAGTTTGCAAAGCCTTTTTCTGACTTCTTGGGGTTAACTACATGAATCCTGTTTTTTCATTATTCTCTATCTAATGCCATAACCTTAGTTGAACAACATTGATAGTTCTAGTCATAGTTACTTGTTAATGTTGATCCCAAGTAATTTGGTTTTAAAATGCATTTCCCGACACATGTTACCTACAATTTTATTCTATAACTCTACTTTTGTGATCAATACGAATTATTTTTCTTATTTGTAATATAAGAGGCAATATAAAAAATGACTGGAATCAATGACATAGATCTGAATCATCATCATTGCCTTAATCCCATGTGAACGGGTACGACCACGTGAATTCGTTTTTTTTTTTTTTTTTTAATTTTTTATTATATGGAAGTCATTTTCCCTATAATATTTAACTTTTTAAAATCATTTCTAACGATTTCATCCCACGTTAACTTCGATGTTCCTCTGTTTCTAATTCTGTGCAAATTAGTCTTCCTCTTCTTGCCTTACCTGTGTATCTATGGGTCATAGTTGTTAAAGGCGTGCCTAGGCTCCTAAAATGCCCTAGGCTCAGCTAGATCACCTCAATGTAGTACAGATCAGGCCCCTTCAGTTAGGCTCACATAAAGCCTTAGGCTCGCGCGTTTTAGTAGGTTCTAGGTTCAAAAAAAGCACCTTTTATTCTTTATTGATTTATTCATATCATTTTTCTTTTTGATAAAATGACTACTATATTAGAATTTTCTAGATTATATCATGATCATTTCTAATGGATCATATTTTCAACCTTATGAAAAATTTGACAAAATGCATAAATTTAAGGTTCACTACTTACATTAATTGCATTTAGTGCTTGATTATGAATATTTAAGATAATATATATATATATATATATATATATATATATATATATGTAATGTTTTCCATAATTATAGTTTTTAATTGTTTCAGTTGTATAATCACATTTAATTTGGTTAATGCATCTGCATATAAAATGAGCATTAATTTACCTGATCCTGTTAGTTGATATATCAAAAATTCTATTTTAAAGAATTTCTTATTATTTGTGTCGCACATTTTGAATTGTTCTTATTGTACATTGGTTTTATTTAATTCATATGCAAATAGAAAAGGGATATGTATGTTGGTTTAGCTAATTTATTGAATTGATAAGTTGAAAATATTTGTTATTTTTATATTGACAAGTATATGTTGCATGGTTTAATTATTGATTATATACTTATAGTAAATATACATTATGATCACACACGCGGGCCTAACTTCAATTTGGTTCGCTCCTTATGTCGTGCTTAGGCTGCCTTGAGCCTTTAACAATTATGTTCTTTGTATAATTTCATACCACCTAAGTTTATTTTATCCTATTTTTTTCACTAATAGGCATCACTCCTAATTTCTCTGTCACATATTGATTGCTGGCCTTATCTCTTCTTGTTGCGTCTATCATCCTGCTTAACATCTTCATTTTCACGGTTCCTTTTTGTAGTCTAACAACATTCTGCACTATATAAATGGTTGGGCTTATAACAGTTCGACAACATACACACACACATATATATTATTTGTTATATTTTATTGCATAAAATGTTGTCTCCATTTTGTCCAACTCGTTCCAATTCCACTAAATATATCATCATCATTTGATACATGATAGTTCTGGGTCTACTCAACTGAACTCAATAAAACTTTTTTCCAACTTCTTGTGGTTAACTACATGAATCTCGTTTTTTTCATTTTTCTCTATCTAATGCAATAGCCTCAGTCAATCCATGCTGATAGTTCTAGTCATAGTTGTTAATGCTGATCCCAAGTATTTTTGTTTTAAAATATATATTCTGACACTTGTTACACTTCCATTCCATAACTCTGGTTTCGTGATCAATACACCATTTTCTATTTCGTGTATTACTTTTCTTATTTAAAATAAGAGGCGCTATAAAAAAATGACTGGAACAATGGGATAGATCATCATCTTCATCATTATCATTGCCTTAATCCCATATAAATGGGACTGGGCACATGAATTCTCTTTTTCCATTCTCTTCTACTACAAATCATTTTTCCTATAAACTTTCTAAAATCATTTCTAACAAATTCATCCCATGTTAACTTCAATTTCTCTCTCTGTTTACTTCCTTCCATGCAAATTAGACTTCCTCTTCTTACCTTACCTGTGCATCTACAGGTCTTCTTTGCATATGCTCATACCTAATTATTTTGCCACTAATAGGCTTCACTCCTGATTTCTCCATCACATGTTGATTGGTGATCTTATCTCTTGTTCTAGTCACCCCTATCATTCCATCTTAACATGTTCATTTCCACTATATGAATTTGTTGTTCCTGTTTCTTTTTATAGTGCAACACTCTGCACCATGTAAATGGTTGGCCTAATAACAGTTATATTAAAATTCTCTTTTAATTTATTTTTTATGAATTTATTGCATAAAATCCCATTAGTTGTCTCCATTTTATCCAATATGTTCTAATTCCGCTAATTACATCACCATCCATCTTTCCATCCTTTTATATTATTGATCATAAATGTAAAAAATGATAACTGTGGATAATACTTTTGTTTGGATAATCGATGAGATAGCTTTTCTATTTAAAAGTTTGAGTAACTGATCATTTCACATTTAAGCTTATGAAGAAGTTTGCTAATTAATTCTAATATTTCATTTTCGGAAGTAAATCTAAAATTTGTTCATTTAAACCATATCGTGTATCACTGATTATTAATTGTTAAAAAAGAAACAATCTCACATTTATAAATGTCTCTACCTATTTACTTAATTAAGGGGGTTATATTGTTGTTCTAGTGAATCTAAAACACCTGAAATGTGAAGACAAGTATGTCTATATTCATTTTTGCACCTTCTTTCAAATACCCCAGGAAAATCTTGCCTTTTCTTTTCTTTCAATTTTTTTTTTCCAAGATATTTTCTTTTATGTAAAAACATAATGTTGCATACATAGTTATGTTTCTTGCTTTCTAAATGTCAGAAAGGAGGCAGGCTGAATCTGCTCGCATCAGAGAGAAGTATCCTGATAGAATCCCAGTAAGTTTTTTGTTTTCTGTAGATGGGGCATTGGTGAATTGTAGTTTCACTATGGTTAATTTACTGTTATTATGGTCTTCTCTGACAATTTAGTTTCCCTTGCAGGTTATAGTGGAGAGAGCCGAAAGGACCGACATTCCTGACATTGATAAGAAGAAGTATGTTGCACCTGTTCTTCTCTTGTAATATCTTTTGTAATTATTATCTAAAAGTTAATTTTTTATTAGTTAGATGAAATTAATTCTCTGAATTATTTACATTGTTGTTTAAGCTCTTATGCGCTTCTTTATTTTTGTTTGGTAATTGCTATTTTTTATTTCTTGCCCAATAAATGTTTGTACTTCTGCAAAAGTTTCCCAATCAAAATATCATGCTTTTAGTTGGGCCTTTTATATGGTTGACTATTTTTATTTTTATTTTTTGTTTTGTTTGAAGCATTTGCATTTCTGTCCTTAATGTGTATGTTGGTTTAAAGTTTTCTTTTCCTATATTTTAGTTTCCAAGTGTTATGGATCACAAATCTCTTTTAGGTTACATTATTTATTACCACTAAACAGTGGAGCATATAAGTTGTCTTGATACTTTGCAGTTGGCCTTCTTAAATCATAAATGTTCTGACCATTTAATGCTAGTTTCTTCACTGCATGCTGTAGCACTGTAGCACATGTTTTCTTTTTTCAGAATGGATAATTACTTGTAGTAGATTGTTGGATTTATTCAACAAAATTTGGTGCTGACCACGGTGCATGGTGTGCTCAGCTGCTGGAATTGTTTATCTCGTATCTGGTTGTGGGTGTTACTGTGCATTTGCATATGTGGATATGTGTGTGTGCATTTGTAACTGGTTGCGGTTGTGGGTGATTGGAACCTTATATTTCTTTTTGTGGGTTCTTTGTCACCACCGAGGAGTTACTTGGATGTACAGCAAGTGTCCAAGGTGATGTGACCTATATGGAAGCCCAGGGAAGCCAAAAGAGATGGGTGAGCAGGCTGTAAGGGGGTAGTTTGTCAAGTTCTCTGGATAAGACAAAGTTTGGGACCTTGATAGGTGACCCCCAACAATCGTGGTTTAAAGCCTTAATCTTCTGGTGGCTTTTATGTTTCTTAATTGAGGGGGTGGAAGCCCTATGTATAGTGACGGGAAAGGGAGAATAGAGTGGTAATTTCCATGGTTTTTATGCATAGGTACTTAGGATTTACGAGGGTGAATTCAAGTAAGTCATCATGAGATCAAAGTAATCATATAGTGCATCAAGGCTGCCATGCAATTGTCAGCACATTAAAATGTGAATAGACAACTAGAGACAAGGATATTCGAGGAGTTGGGGTCCCGGGGTAGGTTGTGCCTAAAATGCTGGGGTAGGTTGTGCCCGAGGTGATGCAGAAGGTTGTGACTGAGATGCTGGAGAAGGTTGTATCTAATTTGAAGAGAGAGAGAGAGTTTAGTGTAAAAAGAGAAAGTAACATGCCTATGATTCTTTAAGGTTCTTAAATGAAGGGGTGGAAGCCCTATTTGTATGGTCTACACGCACAGCTACGTAGGGTTTACAAGGGTTAATTCAAGAAAGTCATCATGAGGTTAAAGTAATGACATAGCATATTAAATGTATGGCAGGCTTGATGCGATGGAGTTGTCAGCACATTAAATGTGATCAGACAACTTGAGACAAGGATAGGTTGCCTGTGGTGCTGAGAAGTTTGTGTAAGAGGTGTAGGGGTATGGGGATACTCTAGCTATCTCTTGCCATTCCTTGTGTAGAGGCACTTCTTGGCGTCCCTGAACTCCAGCTACCAAGCCAAAACATCCCCAAGTTCCTAGGCCCTGCTACCCTAGCCTTGGTGGTTCATCTGAGAGGCCATGTTTCCATGATGTCACTTCCTTCCAAGGTTGGAATGTCCTTCACATGTAGAGTTCATACATGTGAAGGACATTTCATGAGACATATTATCAGTTCAAATAACATAATCAAACTACTTTATAGATTTCTCAGTCCCAAGGATGAAACTCCTTGGGAGACAAAGTGTGGGTTATCGTGGAGATACTTCTTGAGACTTCGTTTGTTCCTCGAAGTAGCAGGTGAAAATTCGATCATTTGGAAAACCTTCCCAAACAACTAGGGAAGGGGATCCTTCGAGCCTACCTTCCAACTCTGCCGCATAGGACTTCTTAATAATAACATATCTTCCAAAATAGATACCTACATTTTTCTTTCCTCATCTGTGTTGGTGAGGGAGTTGATGGCAGTGGATAAGCTCTTTGTGAAACAACCTTCGGGTGGAGGTTTATTGTTCATAATCGGCTCATTCGTTCATTGGCTCTACATGAGCTAAGATAGGGCCTTTGTGAGCTTAGAAATATGAATTTGAGCTTGCATCAAGTTTTTTAATATTTGATTTGGCTTATAAGCTCGTGAAATGTAGTTTTTTTAAAAATAATATTTCATTAATTTTTTTATACAATTAATTTTTTTATATTATTTTATCAATAAATAAGTAAGAAAGTTATTAAATTGAAAATAACTATAGGGCGTGTTCCAGAGTCTATACAAATCTGAGTCTACCATTGTTTAGGTTTGGCTCATTTAGCGAACAAGCGATAAAGAATCTCATAGTTGTGGCTTTAGCTTGTCTGGCTTATTTGATTTAAAAACACAGGCCAAGAATTCAACAAGGCGAGCGAACATACTTGGTTCATGTGCAGCCATAGGAGGTGGAGGGGATTAGGTGGAGGGCTTTACGTGGCAGCTGGTGTGGCTGTCATGAGTGCTTGCGGAGGTGCTTTTTGTTATATAAGCTTATCCTAAAATCTCAATTATTGCCACACTTGAATATCATCCTGTTATGAGAGTCACACAACGTAGATCTTGAGAAAGATGGCAAGTAAACTCATGTTTTTGGATTATTACTGTTACGTACTGAGAACACTGCAATTACTTTTTGGCATATTAATGTTGTTAAAAGCCATCTTCTATTAAGTGATCTGCAAGATATATTTCCCTTTTGTTTGGAGACAAACTTTAAGTAATTATAATGATTCAGAATGTAATTGTTGAAATGGTAGGTAGATGATGTTTCTTCTAACATTGGGTGTTTGAACTAGTGCTTGCCACTTCTTTCTACACAATATTTGCATTAGAACAGTTAGTTTGCTTTACTGAAGTCAGGTTTCTAATGGTTGTATGTTTAATGGATATGACGTCTTTAATTTTAAATGTCGATGTTCACAATGCGTTCTCTCCTTTTTGATTGCATTATCTATGTTCATATATGTTTTTGCTCTTGGTAATACATAAATGGCTATGTTCAGAGATTCAAGAGTTGGCAGAGCATGGATTTTTGACCAAAAATATGAGTTGAATGCTTCTAGTTTTGAATGCTTCTAGTTTAAATGATATGCCTCTCTTTTATCCTGAATGCAGATATCTTGTCCCTGCTGATCTGAATGTGGGGCAATTTGTGTACGTGGTTCGGAAGAGGATTAAGCTCGGTGCTGAAAAGGCTATATTTGTCTTTGTGAAGAACATACTACCTCCCACTGGTGAGTGGAGTTCTCTTTATATGAATTATTAATATGGGTGACGGTTTGATGATTCAAGATGCAAGTTTCCCTTGTTTTTTCTTTATTTCAGTAATGAAGCTGTATTTGTAATACACATATTTTGTTGTTTCAGCTGCCTTGATGTCGGCAATTTATGAGGAAAATAAGGATGAAGATGGATTTCTTTACATGACTTACAGTGGCGAGAACACTTTTGGATCCCTCTAAATGAAGTCATGCCGATTTGTGTAAATACACTACGTTTCATTAAAAATTCTCAGTTATCCTTTTTACAGTCACTGACTTAACTCCCTTCAATCAGAAATTCAACTTCATCTTAATGGGATCAATGGCATTAATTTAATGTTTGAAAAAGTCTATTATATGTATATATATATATGGCTTTAATGGGTAATATTGATTTTTAGGCTAATTTGTTTTATTATTATTTTGGCTGATGAATGTTTTTCTTTCTTGGGTTGTTATTATTGTAATTTTGTGTTTGGTGCTGCAGAAATGATTTGTTACATTCTTGCAGTCCTGGATATTTATGTCTCCCATATGAATGCATTGTTTGATTATGACATAGGAATGGTCTTGACCAGCTTTGGAGGCACGTCTGATTTGATTAGTTATCAATTGTGCACAAGCGAAAGTCTTTACAAGTGAAAATGTATTCACCATAGTTTTTTGGCATTTGACAAATGGTTCTGACTGAAGTATCTATCCTAGTGTGAACAAAGAGTCGGTGCCTATATATATATATATATATATATATATATATATATATATGTATTGGAAGGTTAAGCAAACTCCCACACCTATGCCTCCACGGGAATTTCCGACCTCCCCTTTGGTGGGTTAGAACCAACTGGGCTATTGCCCATTTGGTGTCGACTGAGAGATCATTCAACTTTTCAAGAGAAAATAAAAAATTAGAATGCTTGAATGACTTTGTTAGGAATTTAGGATCACTTAAATTAGTAGTATTTTAGTGGACAAAGAATTTTCAGTTGGAACAATCAGTTGAATATCATTTTTCAACTATATATCCCCCACCACAGCCCCTTCTTCAAATGTCACTATAGAGCAAGGGAGCTACAAGTAAGGATTTGTTCAGAGTCCCTCCTGCTGTTTCTGGGAATTGTGGAATGAAGCTGCACTTGACCTTCATCTAAGATGTCAAGGCGTGTGAGTCAAGAAATCTTGGCTGCCCAAGACATGCTTGTGTGTGTATATATATAGAGAGAGAGTGTGTAATAGAGTTCATTACATATTGAAGAGCCATATCTACTAAACAAATTTTAAGCCTGATAAATTGTTTAGACTTCAACACTCCTTCATGGCTTTCTTCTCCACCTTTTTTGGTTGCTTTTCTGATTCAGGGCGCGTTGCTGATTCAGGGCGAGTTGGATGCGAAGGAGAGAGTGTGAGGTCGTCGATCAAGGCCCGAGCAGACAATGAAGCTAAACCAAAAACTAAGTCAAAAAGTCCTCCAATTCCAGTTTCCTACTTCCCCATTGGATCAACATTTTCCCGGTTATGAGACATTCAGAGCTTCCTTCCCGTGCCCTTTTTTGCATCCTTCCTTGGTTCTTGTTAGACTTTATTCATTTATTCATGTAGTTGATATTGTACACTGAGATCGAACTTGTTTGATGTGTTACTAGAGTGTTTGTATTCTTTATTTGTTTAAATTATTTTTATATTTTATCCATTGATAAATCAAAAAAATACGGTTGCTCTTCTAGGGTTTTGCGCCCCTTGATTGCTTTATCTAAGACACGGACCAATACAGAATGGGGTTTAGAATAAAATGAAAGGACTTCACAAGACCCTTGTGGTCATTTCTTCAAGCAAAATGTGGGTTCTCTATTCAACCATCATCATGGTAGAGTCTTATTTCATGGTGGAAATCCAACTTTGGTTCCCATTGCAGTTCAATTGCAAAGCTTGCACTGGCCTCTCTATAACATTTGGATGGAGCGCAACCAAAGGGTGTTTAAGAAGACATCATTATCCCAAAATGCCCTACTTCAACAAATTATTGACTTGATCAGACTGAAACTCGTGTCCTTAAAATTCACAGATTCTCCACTCTCCAGGCGTATCATTGAAGAATGGGAACTCTCTGCTTCTGTAATTCGCCCATTGGCAAAACCTCCACATGACCACTAACCCCATGGAGGAGGAATCTCCCCCTTGCCACTGCATAGTGTTGTTTCCTGCGTGGGCTAACTGTCATTCGGTTGCTCCAATGGGGCTTGGGCAACAATTGGGCTGTTTTGTTCTATTCTTAGGTTGCTTTGGATTACCAAAATATTTGGGCCTTGTATCTGGGCTTCGTTTCTTTAGTTAGCCTGGGCTAACTATCTATTTCTGTAACATGGTTTCGTTCAATACAATCTTGTTAACCTTTCAAAAAAAAAAAAAAAGGTACATGATTAAAAGTTTAAGTTCATATAAAATAAGTAAATGTGTGAGTATGTTTTTTGATAAGGTAAAAATAAAATTAAATCACTAAACTCACATAAAAATTAGACAAATTGACCATTTAATCTCACTTCATCTAATAAAAATAAATAAATAAATTCTAGTCAATTATACAGTTATGTGTCCAAAACATTCCTTTTGGCATGGGTCATGAATTGTAACAAGTGGCCAACTCGGATCAGTCCGTCGATCTGACCTTCAGGCTCCCTGTCCACTAAGATGCGATAAATTAGAGGCTTTCAAGGCGACAACCGTGATTCGGGGCGGAGCCTGGATTTCGGTTCAGGGGGCACAATGTTAAGGGAAAAAAAAAACAAACAAACAGAGAAAAGAAGAAAAAGAAACAGAAAAAGAGAGAACTTTAAAGATGTAGAAAGGTAAAAAAAGAAAAAATGGAAGAAGAATGACAGAATTTAGTAGGGAAAAATTAGAGTTTACTAAGAAAGAAAACTTTTTTTTAATGAATTTAAAGAGAAAATAACTAAAACTTAATAAATAATTATAGAAACTAATAATTTTAGGGGGGCATTAACTTAAAATTTTCATATATTTATGCAATTTTTTTTTTTTTTTACCACATATACTTAATGGGCGAGGCCATGCCTTGCCCCTTGGCATACACTGACCCCGCCCTTGACCGTGATTATCACCTATAAAATAATTTATATTCAAGTTACTTAATACATCATGTCCTAAATTCATTGTATACACTCATATTATATCTTGTGTTTGCATTGTTTCCTACTTCCCCATTGGATCAACATTTTCTCGGTTATGAGACATTGAGCTTCATTTCTGTGCCTTTTGCAATTCCTTGGTGCTTGCATTGTTTGATTTTCTTCATTTATGCATGTAATCATGTGGTTTATTTTCTTTCTACACTGAAATTGGTGGAACTTGTTTGATGTCTTACATATTCTTTATTTGTTGAAATAATTTTATATTTTATCCTGTGTTTGCTCTTTAGTCTTTGCCTTGCTGAAAAAAATAATATGTTTGCTATTTTAAGCTTTTGTGCCCCTTAATTTTTTTTGTCCTAGTTGGTACTCACACGGTCACACACATTTGTCTCTTTGAGACTTGAACCCCTGACCTCCCTTTGGAAAGTAAGAGGCTAATATCGTTAGTATCTCTTAATGTCTTTATCTAAGACATGGACCAATACAGTGGTATGGGGTTAAGAAAAAAATGAAATGCTCAACGATTATCAAAATTTATTAGAGTACTTGTAATTAACGAGATCATTGGAGTGTTTAGAACTCCGATTTTGTCTTCTTACTTTCATGGTTGTAACAACGTTATCTATCTAACTCTTTCAAAATAAAATGTTTAAGTTCATATAAAAAGTAAGTGCATTCTTGACAAAAATTAAATTAAATAAGTAAAACTCACTTCATCTGATGAATAAAAATTAGATAACTTGTCTCACTTGGTCGTATATAAAAATAATAAATAAATAAATAACTAGTCAATTAAATTCTCATTAAAAAAAAAAAAAAAAAATCTAGTCAATTATACAGCTATGTGTCCAAAACATTCCTTTTAGCCATAGGCCATGAATTGCAAAAATTGGCCAACTCTAGGACTGCAGCTCGTCCTATGTACGTTTGTTTAGTCGTCAAATTTTTCATTATTTAATAGTCAAATTTTGCCTCCAAAGACTGGATCTTAATATGTCTCGGTTTCGAACCCAAACACTCTTATTATAACTCCTGATTTAATTTGTATTGTGGGGTCGCACTCTCGGTTTAGCTTGGAGTAGGTCCAAAGAGCCCTACCCAAGGGAGTTCAGAGTTGCAATAGTCAATTGAACTTTAATTTTTATTTTAAAATATCCTAATATAGTTCTAGCCCAATTTTATTTTTATTTATTTTTTTATTTTTTAACACCACAAAGAGAAATAGTCAATTGAACTTTCATTTTTATTTAAAAATATCCTATTATGGTTCTAGCCAAGTCTGATTTTATTATTATCTTTTTATTCAAGGCTACAATCGTGATTATATAATAATTCCTACTTAAACTAACACACATTTTTCATTACTACCCCCACATATTTGCACAAATTAAAACATAAGGCTAAACGTGACACTAATTACTATAACCACGCATGTATACACATAAATAATTTAATAAACTCTATTGACTCAAGTGAGTAAAAATTTAGCTCTGGTGCTTCGGAAAGCATTAGGTCTAAGGTTTAGATTTCTCTAGAGCGCAAATAATTCTTTAAAAATGTTGTATAACTATCGACTAAAAAATTAATAATAATTAAACTAATACAAGTATGCTATACCCTTTCAAAAACGGATCAAGACCCTCTTGGAAAGGCAAAAAAAAAAACAAAACAAAACAAAATCGTGGTTTCCAATGGTGCAGCTAAAACTACATCGGTTGAGACTTTTTAACGGAACCATCCATCCACTCTGTTGATGGCTAAAATAAAAGTAAAGAGAGAAAAGGTTTGTCTTTTTAAACTTTTTAAATACTTTTAGAGAGCCCAACTTTGATTTTTATGTAATAAAAAAATATATATATCTGAATGATTGAATGACTTTGTTAGGAATTTAGGATCACTTAACTTAACATGAGTATTTTGAGAGTACACCATAGAGTTTTCTGTTACCATACCCCACCCAGAGTCAAAGTGAAAAACCGCAGCCCTTTTGAAACCTTCCTAACATGTCACTATATCTGGAGAAAGGGACAAGTTTGAAATTTTTTCTAGAATCAGAGACCCTCCGGCCTCCCTCCTGGACGTTTCTAGGAATTGTGGAAGGAAGCTGCACTTCAACCTCATCTAAAATGTCCAGGGCGTATGAATCAAGAAATCTTGGTTGTCCAAAACATGCTTGTGTTTCTATAAATAGAGGGGGAGAGAGTAATAGAGTTTAATACAGATTGAAGAGCCATTTCTAGTTGCTTTTGCTAAAGAACTT